GACAGGTCCTCGGATAGTAACCCCTACGGGTAGTACCCAATTCATTGTCTCAAAGTTTTTGTTATTAAAAGGTGTGGCGAACGAGGCGTCTTCGTATTGAAAGACGAGTATCAAGACCACACACACTACAGTGAGTATCCTGACACTCGGAGAGGAAGAAGACTACACTCAATCCTCTCTCTTTAGTTCAACACAAAAAGAACTTCATTCTCTTATTAAAGTGTTTTTGGCTTTGAATGGTAAGTGTTTTGCGACAGAGAACCCTACGGTAAACGTCAACACTCGGGATAGGAGAAGGCCTACGCCTAACCACTCCACGACCATTCAAGTTTTTGTTAAGAAAATGATTTGAAAATACACTCGGTGCAGGTCCGAGGTTTTAGGTGAGAAAGGTTACGGAATAAAGTTAAAGAGGGAGAGGTGGATAAAGTCGCGCCTTCGTATTGAAAGACGAATATCAAGACCACCCTCACTACAGTGGGCATCCCAACATTCGGAGAGGAAGAGGTCTACACCTAATCCTCTCTTTTAATTCAATACAAAGAGAAAATAGTTTATTATTGAAAGTATACTCCGTACGAGACCGAGGTTTTATGAGGAAATGTTGGAAGCGTCTTTGTATTGTCAAACGAGCATCGAGACCACCCTCACTAAAGTGGGCATCCCTACGCTCGAAGAAGAAGGGGTCTACACCCAATCCTCTTTTTAGCTCAACACAAAGGGATGATTTCTTATTGAGATGAGATTTGAAAATGGATGGGAAGCGTCTTCGTATTGAAAGACGAGTGTCGGGACCACCCTCACTACAGTGGGCATCCCAACACTCAGAGAGGAAGAAAGTCTACACTTAATCCCCTCTTTTAATTCAATACCAAGAAAATGACTTGAAAATATTTTCGAAGTTACACTCGGTACGAGACCGAGGTTTTAGGGGGATAAGCGTTGAAGGTGAAATGGTCTCAGATCCAACGTTATTTATCAACAGTTTGACTTAATAACGATTTACGGAGGTCTCGTCATCGACCCAACAGAGATGAAAATGGGACAAAATGTCCAATAATAAATGCAAAATAAGATCGACTTTTAAAATAAAAAAAAAAAACCCCACAACTCTAATATAAAATAACTCTAAAAATCTTAGAAGAAATATAATATAGAAATGTTGAAAGAAATAAAATATATATATAAAAAAAAACAGTATATGATACATATATAAAATATCTAATAATAGTAATATACATAACTAAACATAAAATAAAATAAAATAAAAATAAAATAAAGTAATAAAAACAGATATTACTAATTTATAAATTAAAATAAAAACATATATATTTTTTAAAATACTAAAACAAAAATAATATACAAACTTAAAACAAGACAAAAGCAGTGGGTTTTATGAAATAAAACAGGGGTGAGGAGTATGCGAATCATAATGGGTTTCAAACCCGTTCATCATCCCGTTCACCAGGCAAAACAGTCACAAAGAAAATAATAACAAAACAAAAAAACCACAACAACTCTGTGAGATAAAAACGCGACCATAGAGTACAACGATTACCACCTCAAATTGATCGCGAAGGGCGGTTCGTCTCCGAAGGTTTTCGTTCGATTCCCAGATCCCGGTTTGAATCTCTCTATCTCGTTATCATCTGGTCTTGGTTTTGTTCATGGTTTTGCTCCGTTCTACTTCTTCATCTATTCCGTTCTGGGTTTCCTTTTGTTTCTTTCGATTTCTGTTGTGGGTTCTTGAAGAGGTGTTTGCTTGGATTTGGTTTATAGGAGTGGGTTTGAATTAAGGATTTGGGGTTCATGAAAACGAAGTGTTTGGGTGTTTCTGATATGGTTTTCGATTGGGGTTGTTGGGTTTAAATGATGGGTTCCGTTGTTACTGAAGCTTTGGGATCGAAGGAGATTTCGGTTTGGATTTACGGTTGGTTGTAGAGGTAGAGGGGTTTGAACAGAGGGGATTTCGAAATGGGGGTTGTGTTTTTGCAGTGTGAAGATGATGAAGTGCGATTGTGAGTGTGAGAAATTGGTGAAGGCGATGGGAAGAAACTCGGTTGGAGGGTGAAGGCTTTCTTTGAGCGGCTAGATTTTTAGGGTTGGTGGGTTTTCTTCTGATAGTTTGATGATAGAGATTTTGAAGGTGAGTCTGTTGATGGTTGGAGAGGGATTAGGGTTTCATTTGGAGGCTGCTGGGTTTTGTGACTAGGGTTTTTTTTTAGGCCCCTTTCTGAATGAAAAATCACAAAATATATATCACATGAGATTAGGGTTTAGTTTATGTTTGTATCATCTCTGCTATCACTTTATGATGTCAAGATTATGTCTTTCCATTTTAGTAAATCTAGCTCTGCTGTCCTGTCTTCTTGTCTCTGAGATTTTATTCATTAAAATGGAAAATATCTGATATTTTTACCTTGAATTTTCACTGCTTTGTTTATGAATTTTTACTGCTTTGATTTATGCTGATAGGGCAATTTGTTGACTTCAAATGCATTCTGACTTTGGCCCTTTTTACTACCTTTTTTACAATACATTACTCTCTGATGGATTATTATTAATTGAGGCATTTGCTAAGAAATCAAGAAAGCTAGGCAAGGAATCTGCATGCCATGAAGCACTGTTACCATTGGAATAAGGTGTTGATGTGGTAGAAGGTACTGGTCCATTATTTGAAGAATACGGTAATGGCATTGGAGCAAATTTGTTCCCTTGAAAGAGAAGTCTTGGATTGGAATAGTTTTGCCATATCTAGCTCCAGCAGTCTTCGGAAGTAGTCCTTGTTGTTCTTTTAAGCCCGAATTAACAATATTTCTTCTGTCAATATGCGAAAGTTCCTGCATAACATCATTGTGGTAATTCTCAATTCCCGCTTAAAAATCAGAAGCAGAGAAACTGTTGACAAGATTCGGTTTCTCATTCTGAGTTTCGCCGCACAAATCAAACGATGGTACTGAGAAAACACCAAGAGATGGCTCCTCAATGGGTTTGAACTGATCATTCCAATCTTGTTCCACAACATCAGTTTCCACATCATCATCAAGTGGGAAATCAAAAAAACTCAACAACATCACCAAGAATCTCATCCGACACACCGTTAAAATTGTTGTCGAAAAACCAACAGTTCTTCATATTAGCATTATCCGGAACTGAACTGGAGGTTCAAACGGCGGTGGCGGTGATTCTTTTTGTTTGTGGACTGATACAGGCTGCAGATTTCTCACTCCGAGATATGTAAGTTCATCATCACATTCTCATTTTTCTTCATTTAAAATTTATAACATGAGGGTTTTGAGTATTTTCTACATATTACCGTTTTCCTCTTGATTTGCAGGATGTGAGCTTATGATTTTGTGCAGGTCTAGCTGTATCATGATGTGTAGCAGCTTGTAGAAACTATTGTTTTGCCCGGTAAGCGATGCGTGGAAACATAATTGATCATGGCAGGCGAAGCTAGCATTAAGCAACATGGAATATCATCTTCGTATAGCTCGCGAACCAGATTGAAGCCGTATCTCAAGCTATGATAAGAACATCCTCGCGGTGACCAGCTAGAGAAGTTGCGAAAAACTGGTATGCTCACACAGAATTTATGAACACCTTTCAATGCCTGGCTGGTTTATGCTTTTACCTATTGTGCATCAGGCTGGCGAAGAGGTAACTTTCCCTTGAAGTTCACTTTGCTTAACTGACATATCAGGTGTTCTAGGAACAGGTCGTGAATGTAGAGGAGTTTCTGGGGTAACGTGATGAGATTTTTGACTATGCTGCCTTTCCATGCAGGCACGCCAAACATTCTCCCAAATGTTCCTTCCACCGTCTGTCACCCCATAAGCTGATATCATATGTGCCTCCTCCGGTATCGTTCCTTGAATCAATGCTCCATAGACAAAGATCTGTGCACGCAATTGTACTTGTTGCAGATCTGTGAAAGGCTGATGAAACAAGACAGGTGAAGAAGCAGAAGTGTTCAAATCTGGAAGGCTAGATGATGTTGAAGTATTTACAAGAGAAAATGTCTTTGCACTATTGGAATCTGCGTGCCCATACTGTTGAACCTCAGTTGAATGCATCAGTTTGAAACCAGGAGATGGGCTATGGGAAACTTTGGATGATATATCACCTTTTTCAGACTGTATAGCAGGGCTTGCATTTTTCACACGACCTCCTCTTCTAGCAGATTCCTTTCCAGCTGCCTTATTAGATGATTGTCTAGCTTTGCGCTTAGGCGTAGCTTTAAAAGCACTAAAAGCCACTTCTCCATCCGATATCTGTGGACTTCCATGGGAAACATTTGCTACAGTTTTGGTTTTTTGAAGATCCTGGCCCAGAAGTTGAAGGAGATTCTGCCAAAGCTATTGATGGATTGTTGGTTGTGATGACAAGGGCTGATTATCTCTTGCTAACATCTGTATCCAAATCTGCTGTGTTTATTTTGAATAAATCAACCACAACATTTATCTCAGGAGATGGGCTTCTCTCATCTTTAGACACAGTATCCCTCTGTAGAACTTGGGCAGTCGACAATGTATTATGTATGCCACTATTTTTTAAAACAGATTCCGCGAGATTCTGATTAGCCGAAGCCTTACCTTGATTTTCTTCCTTATCGGTTTGAGAAGGGCTTCTGAATGTATTAGAGGGACTGCAAATACCACTGGCAGGAAAGCTTCCAGTCTCAGGTAACTCAACACGAGAGTCGGGCAAAGGAGAAGATATGGAATCTTTGTTCCCACGTAAAATGTCACCTAACTCTTTCGGAGATGACTTGTCGTAAGTCTCCTGTAAAATCTCCTTGTTGTTATTAATAACAGAAATGGTGACCCCAGCACTCTGTGTCTCTAAAGATTCACATAGTACTGGAGGCACGCTAATTTCTTTTGTGCATTCCTGGGTAACCATTTGACTTTTTTTCTTTTTCTTCAGATGAAGCCAGATAGAGAGCCTTACACCATGCTTCTTTTTCCCATGAAGTTTCCAGATACAAATATAGAGTTTTACTTCCATTGTATATTACTGAGGTCTTGTTTTCCACTTTGATGGGGAACTTTTTTTTTTGCCCATTTTTTTGAAGAAAGGTTTGAAGCTGACACGGCTTGAACGGTACAATTCTTGAGTTCAATTGTTGAGTGTGGCTGCAAACCATCAGGTTTTCTTAGAATAAGTGGCTCACCCTTGATTGTTCCATACATTTTAATAGGTGAAACCTCCAATAAACCTTTTCTTTTGGGCTCTTTTGAAATTTTTCCTGATTCAAGGACCCAAACCACACCCTGCTTGTGAGACGCAAAATGAAGAGATTGTTGATGATCAAGCTGGTTTGATTCAGTTTCCAGTTTATGAGCTTGCTCGCCATGGAGATTGTGGCTGTGGCGTAACCGTTTGATTATCCATAACAGTGCCAGAGCTTGAACGGCAACAACAGCCACCACACCGAAACCGAACCCGAGCAAAATCGAACCCAAAAATGAAGGCATTTTGATTCTTTTAGGCAATGTGTAATCATGAATCATGAGAGACCACCGATGCAACTTGAAGTATATGGGCCGGATAGTGACAATTTCTTCTTTGTAATTATTATATTTAGTAATCATGTGCAAATGGTCATGTCAAAATGATGATGGGCTTTATTTCAAAAAATAGAATTTTCTCTCTTCTTGTCTTGTATCTTTGTGGATATATTTGTAATAATTCTATGCCTTATTAGAGAAAATCAATAGTGTATTACTCAGAAGTTGAATGGCCTTTTTTTAAAAAAAAACACAATCTACTATGCAACGATTCTGGACCTTTGAGCTTAGAACCATGAATAACTTCTTAAATAATGAGTCAACCACGAATCAGTCATGGACCAACTCCGAACTCTACCACTTGCATCAAGTCCTGAACCGAATGAGTAACACAACATTGCATTAGGACTGCATAAACCCAGATTTAACTCTCAGTCCTCTCATCATTTGAACTATGTATACCCTGGCTTCAGTCAGGGAACAAAATTTTGCCTAATCAATAAACCAGGTCCAAACCAATCAACTTCAATCAACACACCTCTCTTAATTTGATAATCCTTAAATGAAACTTGGATCAATTTAGTTCAACCTAGCAACGCCTAGAGCAGGGACAACATATTTTTTTTTTTGGATTTTTGAATAAATGGATGAACAAATGAAAACTATACAGGTGGGATAAATTTAGGGTATGACAGATGCCCCTATCTAATTGGCTTAGACCGAGTAAAATGAACGGCTCTGGCGCTCACTCTTTCAAGGTAGAAGGCAATTAGATATAAAGAAGACCCTGAATTTGTCCGAAAAGCAAAGGAAAGTTTGGGAATTGAAAGTGATGGATGAGATATACCTCTGAGCCAACTGTAAGTAGCAACAGGTCGCCATCACCAAAAGGATGATGGGATAAAACACACACGGCTACTACCACCAACAGGATGATAGGAGTCCATTACCAAAAGGATAATGGAAAACACGCTAGTCACGACACCAAAAGGATGTAAGGAGTCCATTACCAAAAGGATAACGGAAAACACGCTAGTCATGACACCAAAAGGATGCCAGGGGGATAAGCTTCTTTGAAGAGATTGCCACTTATCGTTGATGAAGGATAAGCTTCTCTGAAGAGATTGCCACTTATCGTTGAAGATGGATAAGCTTCTCTGAAGAGATTGCCACTTATCGTTGAAGATGGATAAGCTTCTCTGAAGAGATTGCCACTTATCGCTGAAGATGGATAAGCTTCTCTGAAGAGATTGCCACTTATCATTGAAGATGGATAAGCTTCTCTGAAGAGATTGCCACTTATCGCTGAAGATGGATAAGCTTCTCTGAAGAGATTGCCACTTATCATTGAAGATGGATAAGCTTCTCTGAAGAGATTGCCACTTATCGCTGAAGATGGATAAGCTTCTCTGAAGAGATTGCCACTTATCGCTGAAGATGGATAAGCTTCTCTGAAGAGATTGCCACTTATCATTGAAGATGGATAAGCTTCTCTGAAGAGATTGCCACTTATCGTTGAAGATGGATAAGCTTCTCTGAAGAGATTGCCACTTATCGCTGAAGATGGATAAGCTTCTCTGAAGAGATTGCCACTTATCGTTGAAGATGGATAAGCTTCTCTGAAGAGATTGCCACTTATCATTGAAGATGGATAAGCTTCTCTGAAGAGATTGCCACTTATCGCTGAAGATGGATAAGCTTCTCTGAAGAGATTGCCACTTATCGTTGAAGATGGATAAGCTTCTCTGAAGAGATTGCCACTTATCGTTGAAGATGGATAAGCTTCTCTGAAGAGATTGCCACTTATCGTTGAAGATGGATAAGCTTCTCTGAAGAGATTGCCACTTATCATTGAAGATGGATAAGCTTCTCTGAAGAGATTGCCACTTATCGCTGAAGTCTGCTGGAGACAATTCACTGGGGATCACCCATGGATTTACTGGAGATGCCCCTGTCTGGGCTGAATGTTGATTTTGAAGGTCTGATTAACCACGAGGTTGCAATACATCATGCAATACGCCCATGGTCTTGAAAAGATGCCCCTGACTAGGCTGATTAGGATCTTGAAAATCTTCGAAATTGATCCTGGATCTGATCTCGTATATGTAAATGCTTGATGATAATGATGTTCCATAACGAATGGAGATGCAAATGCAAATGCTAACACGCGGTGATGCAAGAGCTGAGGAAAGTATGATGTAATCATAGGTATGTATATGATGCAAGATGCTTATGAAGCAAGATGCTTATGATGTCGAATGCGATGCGTATGATGCGTATGATTGCGGACGGGCAATGGAAATACAGGTGCCGACATGGCGGACTTTGGTGGTGGGAAAGTGAAAGATAAGCCTGACTTCCCGACATCATCTATTTATGATGTATAAAGAACTTGGATGCGTTGAGATTTTCAGCTCATGGTCTGCTCTGCCGGGTTAGACGACCTTGTCAGTCAAGTTGTTACAAGATTTAGAATGATGTTCCTGCGTACTCCTTAGAGTCATGGTCACCCTTTAGTTACCTCAAGAGGGTAAGTTATCCCTTAGTCTAATTTACCATAATGTCAATATATGCAAAACCTATCATCAAATAAATGAAACTTGCAACCAAACGGTAAATAAAAACAGAAAAAGCTTTGATGAAAGTAATTTTATTGATGAAAACCCATAAATGGGAAAATTACAAAGGGAGGCAATTCCTGAAAGAGGTAACTGCTTTTAAAAAAGAAAAATAAAGACTAAGACAATGTTGAAACATGGTCCCTGCCAAGTTTCAAATCCGCTATGGCCCATATGTCTCTGAAGACCCTTCACACCTTGCTTCTGAGCGCCCGAATCGAATTGATCTTTCTCAGTCGAGAGCTTGACGGTTACGAGGAATAATTCACACGTCTTTTCAAGATGCAGTCCTGCTTTTTTTTGAATCCCTAACCTTTGCCTTTTTGAATCCCTAACTTTTGCCTAAGCTGCCTTTTCAGGTTTTCAGCCTATCAGGATACTCTTTTTTTTTTTCTAGTCCCTAATCTTGCCTGAACCATTTTTATGGTCCACCAGGACGCCCATTTTTGCGTGGATTTTCTTTTTGGGTCCACCGGGTCTATCTTTTAGGCATGATATTTTTTAACTGCATCTGCATTCACAGGGGATGAGAGATCGTCACCATCCATGGTTGACAGGATCAAGGCTCCTCCGGAGAAAACCTTCTTTACTACATACGGACCCTCATAGTTTGGTGCCCATTTTCCCCTTGGATCGACGTGAGTTGGCTGAATTTTCTTCAGTACCAAATCTCCTGCTTGGATGTGTCGTGGGCGAACCTTCTTATCAAAGGCCCTCTTCAATCGTTTTTGGTATAGTTGTCCATGACAGATGGCCGTCATGCGTTTCTCGTCGATGAGATTGAGTTGGTCGAGTCTAGCTTGTATCCATTCGGCCTCATCTAGCTTGACGTCTGCTAAAATCCTTAAGGAGGGAATCTCTACTTCAATGGGCAATACTGCTTCCATGCCATATACGAGAGAAAACGGGGTTGCCCCTGTGGAAGTGCGCACTGAGGTGCGGTAGCCATGCAACGCGAACGGCAACATCTCGTGCCAGTCTTTGTATGTCTTCACCATCTTCTGGACGATTTTCTTAATGTTCTTATTTGCCGCCTCAACAGCTCCGTTCATTTTAGGGCGATAAGGTGTTGAATTGTGGTGTTCAATTTTGAAATTTTCACACAACTCTTTCATCATCTTATTGTTGAGGTTTGAACCATTGTCTGTAATGATCTTGTTCGGGATTCCATATCGACAAATAATCTCTTTTTTGATGAAGCGAGTCACCACTTGCTTAGTGACGTTGGCATAGGACGCCGCTTCTACCCATTTGGTAAAGTAATCGATGGCCACTAAGATAAAACGGTGCCCATTTGAAGCGGTTGGCTCGATGCGTCCGATTACATCTATACCCCACATAGCGAAGGGCCAAGGCGAAGTCAAAACATTCAGAGGGAGTGGTGAAGTATGGACCTTGTCTGCGTAAATTTGGCACTTGTGGCATGACTGGACATGGAGACAACAATCTGTTTCCATCGTCATCCAATAGTATCCCGCCCTCAAAATCTTTTTAACCATAGTATGACCACTAGCATGTGTCCCAAAAGATCCTTCGTGCATCTCATTTATGATACGTTCTGCCTCGTGTTTATCCACGCATCTGAGTAGAACTGAATCGTAATTTCGCTTGTATAGCACGTCACCACTGAGGAATAACTTTGAGGAGAGCTTTCTGAGATACTTCTTGTCAGTGATAGTTACACCTTCTGGATATTCTTGTGTCTCTAGGTATCGCTTGATATCATAGAACCAAGGATGATTATCAGTTTTAGCTTCTTCCTCCTCGGCCGCTAGGCAATAAGCGGGTTCGTCTAAATATTCTAAACGGATGGATGGCGCCTCATTCTCCCACTTGACTTGAAACATAGATGCTAGTGTTGCTAGAGCGTCAGCCAACTGATTTTCTCCTCTGGGAATGTGATGGAAAGTGATCTCATCAAAGTACGGGATTAACTTCAAGACATGATCTCTGTAAGGAATTAACTTGAGGTCCAGTGTTTCATACTCCCCTTTAATCTGGCATATGACAAGCGCGGAATCTCCATAGACTTCTAGAATCTTGATTCTGTTATCAATGGCAGCTTCAATTCCGAAAATACAGGCTTCATATTCGGCCATGTTGTTAGTACATTTAAAGCATAATCTGGCGGTGAATGGCAGGTGAAAGCCAGTTGGAGAAGTGATGATTGCCCCAATTCCACAACCTTTGGCATTTGCGGCACCATCGAACACGAGCGTCCATCGTGATCCTGGTTCGGGTCCCTCATTTGGGTCTGGCGTGGCATAATCTCTGGCAAACATGACGTCTTCGTCGGGGAAATCGAAACGCATAGACTGGTAGTTGTCCATAGGTTGGTGGGCAAGGTAT